GCTTGATTAAATATAAGAAATTTGGACTTAATCGAAAAAAATAAAAATTGCGTGAGTATGTCTGTATATATGTGTAAGTATGTGTGTGTATGTGTGTGTGTGTGTGTGTGTGTGTATAAATTATATTATTTGTAGATTTATATATATGAATAAGTATATATATATTACGTTATAGATATATATGTATATATACATGTAGACATATATATTTATTTATATTGTTGTATTTAAATATTTGTATGTAAATAAATAAATAAAAATAAAGTGTTATATATATATATATATATATATGATCAAACTAATATAAGATATATGAATGTGTGTGTGTATATATTTATATAATATGTGTGTATTACATATATAGATATATGTCACGACCTAGAAGTCAAATCCGTGACCGACGCTAAGATTAGGATAATCCTAACCCCGCAAGCCTCTAATGATCAGAATTAAAACAGAACAAATTAAAACTTCAGTTAATATAGTCTCCAAAAATCTGATACAACTTTCAAAAATCCAATACAATTATAGACTTCTGCACATCCTGTCTATGATTATTAAGCGAATTAAAACAAAATACACAACTAAAAGGAAAAAACAAAGACTAACTGCTATACTCAGAGATCAGATTGGCTAGAAGCATGAAATCGAGATCGACGGACTACCATCACTAAGTAGGAGTAGTTGGTAAAGTCGAATCTGAGTCTGAAAAATAAAATAATAAGTTTACCAACCTAGTGAATAATAATACATATTTATATGATGAGAGATATATATCAGGTATTCTTAGCATAAAAACATAACTTTCAAATTTTACAAGTTAGAGAGTTCAATACCGAGAACTGAATAAAAATAAGACGGTAACCTTATGGTGTGCCGATATACATATATTAGAATGGTGACTCAGAGTTTACCGATAATCAATCAATAGGCCTACCACGTTAGCCACATAAGATAATCTAACACCGCCTCTACTAGCTGGAGATATAGGTCAAGGTGCACCTAGACTAACACCTACTGCTGTTAATTACAGAGTTCTAATAGTCCGACACTCCCTTAAAATCATTTTTCATAGTTTAACAGAATAAGTTACCAATTTTCAATGTCTCAAAAGTGTATCAATGCTTGAAATCAGAAATTCAGAAGTTTTTCCCACAAATTAGAAAATGACATATATGTCTCTCATAACTTTTATAACAATTTAAGTTCAACTAGATAATAACTGAATAAATTCTCAATTTATGTAAAAATTGGAAATTTAAACAAATATAACAACATTTAAACATATAAATATATACTATTAATCATAAAAACTGAGAATCACGAAACTTGAGCTTTTGCGGTTTGGCTTCCCGAAAGTTGAACAATCAATTTAGAATTAATCAAAATGCTCATTTTAGAACGTAATATGTCTCCAAGTTAATTCAAAACTAAATTTCCTTTTAAAAACCCAAACATATCCTCAATTTTCATGTTTTAAGCCATTTCGGGAATTTTAAAGTCCTGAACTGGTAAAACAAAACTGAACCGTACCTCCGACACATTGAATCAAACATTGAACCTATTGAACCAGTGATAAAATTATTGAACCGGCCAAGAAACCCACTAAACCGGTCTCAATAACCATTAAACCGGCTTTAAATCCATTAAATCGGCCATAAAACCTATTGAACTGGCCTTGAAGTATATTGAACCGGCCATAAAAGTCAATGAATTGGACTTAGAACTACTAAACCAGTTAAAATTTGCCCTGAACTAGCCATAAATATGTTGAATCAATGGTTTTCTAATTTTTTCTTAATTTCTTTGACATTGGACTGGCCAGTTCACCATTGAATCAGCCGGTTTTTCCTTGAACCGGCGTGAACCAGGTGGACAATTTAATTATCTTCTTACCAATACCTTGAACCGACCAAGAATAGGTTGAAAATCCCTTAAACTGGTCATTTTTCTATTTTCTAACATTTTTTCTATTTTCTATTATTTAATTTATTATTTAATTATTTCCTGGGCTAAGCTTGGCCGTTGACCATGGCCCAGGCTTCTTTATTTTTCATCTAGCCTAGAGCCATTTGGGCCAGACCAATGCCAAATAATAATAAACAAACAAATCCAATTCAAAAATGAGCCCAAGCTCGTCAAACTGGCCCAACTCGCAACCATTTGGGTTGTGTCTTCTCAACCCAGAATACCAGATAAGAGGAAATCAATTTAATTGAAAAAAGATCTAGAACTTTACCTCAATTTACTTGTAGATCAAACCTTGAAGTTACCAGGTGACTCACGTAGCTTTTCAACTTGACTTTTAAGTTGATTAGATTGCTAAATTGAAGCTCGGAATCCCGTCTATGGTTGACGAACTGTTCGATCAAAGTTTTTCAAAATTTCAGAATTTATGTAACTGGTTTTCTAAATAACCTTAGGGCTTTTGTAAATTTCTACCGATTGATTTGCTTTACAATGAAATTTTAATTACAAACGTTTAGAAATTACTCAAGTTTTAATGAATTAATTTCAAATCCGATTGTTACAGATGTTTAGATCATTTCCTTTTTTTTTCTTTTTAGTCCCTCCAAATTTCTAAAATTTTAATTTGGTCTTAAGATTTTACAATATACATATATAAATGTATAAACATATATATATTTGATTTTTTATTTAAATATTTTTATATAAATAAATAAAAATAAATTATTATATATATCAACAAACTAATATAATATATATTAATAAGTGTGTATATATATATATAATATTATTAAAAATATTGCATATATTGATATATATGTGTAAAAATATATATTTATTGATTTTATATTTTTTATTTAAATAATTTTATATAAATAAATTACAATAAAATATTATATATATAGAGATATATATGTGTAGATATATATATTTATTTATATTTTTGTATTTAAATAATTTTATGTGAATAGAAAAAATAAAATATTATATGTATAAATCAACAAATTAATATAATATATAAAAAATGTTTTAATAATATATATATATATATATATATATATAAAACAAAAGAAGATTGCTGCAGCTAAGTTGGAGTGTAGAAACATAAAAAAGAAAAAAGATATCTTCAAGTGACGGCAAAGTTGGCGCTAATTAGAAAGAAAAGAAAAGTAAAGTAAAGTAGCCGTGCAATGATTATATTACTGTAGCAAGTGGATTGGGTGCAGTAATTAAAAAAAAAAAAAAACTATTGCAACCAACGTTCATTGCATATAGATTACCGTGTACATTGACAAGTGTTACCGTGCATTGAAAATAGATTAAATTAATAAAAAATGTTACCGACCCAACTTATGGGTAAGTAATTTTAAATGTTTTAAATTTTATTTTTTAAAAAGATTATCCACGCATTATTTTACACCAGTAATTTTTTATTTCATGTATTTTATTTTTTTGAAATATTATTGACGTATTTTTTACATCAGTAAATTTTTATTTTTATTTTTCAATTTTTTAAAAAATCATTGATGTATTAACTTGTGTCGGTAATTTCTTATTTTATGCATTACATATTTTTTAAAAATATTTTCGACACATTTTTTTGCGTCGGTAAATTTCTATTTTTTAATTTTTAATTTTTAAAAAAACTGACACAGATTTGTGTCAGTAATTGGGTCGGTAATTTTTTCCGATCAAAATTTGTGTCGGTAATTGTGTCAACAATTTTTCGACGCAAATTTACTTCAGTAATTGCGTCAGTAAGCAGACCAAAATGTATGCGTCACTAATTTTGTGTCAAAAATTTCAATATTTCTTGTAATTTTTATAGGGTCAAAGTAAGAGTTGTTAGGAATCTCACAAGAGATTATTAGAGACTATACAGTTTTTATTCTTTCTTTTTCTTGTTTTCAGTTTTTAGCTTAAAACTTACATGTACATTTTGTTTTAAATTAGTTTAATGTTTTTGTTGTGATTAAAAAATTTTTATTAATGAATTTATCCATGATTTCTTATTGAATGATTTTATGTTTATACTTATTTAATTCAATTTCTTTTCTAGTTAAAGGAGTTACTTAACTAGGAGTCTGTAATTGGATAAAGTTTGGTAATAATTTGTAGGGTGTTTCTCAAAATTTTTAAGTAAATTAATTAGTGATTTTGGGTAATTGGGTTTTAATTGAGATGGTCAATCGGGTTAAATACTAATTTTATTGAAATCTGGGAAAGAAAATCTAAATTGTTTGCAAGATATTCATTAATATAAGAATACACCATAATTTTTTGCCTCTTTTAAGGAGAATTCAATTTAAAAGTTATCTATACACACAAACTTATTGATATCTATACCATTCATTCACAAATCCATTCATGCCTTTAGTTAAGTATTGTATTATTTAAGTTTTACACCGTCAATAAAACACTTCTTTAAATTAACTTAAATTCTTTTCAAAATAAGAAAAATATCTAAATAAATAACTGCACCTAGTTTCTACTAGAAAGAATAGCTTCAAAATGAATTTATCACTTCATATAAGTAATTCTTGCACTTGGGATTACAATTAAAATTTGTACAGTAATACCCTATTTTGATAGATGTTACGACTCAATATTTATAACTATGTGTGAATTAAAAGTTTTAATCCAAATGTGAAATTGATTCTCATACAAGATGAAGGAACAAAGAATCTAAAGTTATTCATTTTATTATATAAAGAGGATTACAAGAGTAGTTCCCTAAATTAGCTAACTGGGTACTACTGTAAGACTTTCAACATCAAGTACTGATTATCAACTATTCTTGTTGAGCATAAAATTAAATTAAATAAAATATTGAACAAACTTTCAACAATAATAATTAAGTAGGTTTTAAAAGTATAAAACACAAATATAGTGACATTAAATTCAATCTTAACTGACACTTGCACGTGTGTTTATGTTTGCGTTTTTGTGTTACAAACACAAACTTATTTTGACACTAGAACTTTTAGTTTGACCATACTTAAAGGTTGTAGTTTCAACTTGAAACTCAGTTTTTATATGTACGGTGCCTGTAAACGGAAAATCGTTTCGTCGTCCACTTGGAAGGCCTTGGCCAGAATATCTTCAGGAATTGCAGGGTGAGATCCAAACACAGCGCTTGCAATTACATTAAGACCACCATTCTGGCTATTGAATACTGCAAGGCCTATGGCATGACCACGTCCAATATTTTTCTGAAAGTGGATCAAGCCCTTTGGGTATACAAACATATCACCCTCTTCAAGCACCTGTGTAAAGAGACGATTATTTTCTGCGCTGGAGGCAACAAGCCCTACTAGGAATCTGCCTTGAAGGCAGACAAAAAGCTCACTGGCACGAGGATGTGTATGGGGAGGGTTGACACCACCTGGTTTTAAAATCAACACGAGAAAAGGAAAGACCAAGCGTGTTAAGTCCGGGCATCACTGACGCATTGACTAAGTATATCCCTGATCCAAGTGGGTTTGATAAATTGGCCTCCTTGTCGAAGATGCTGAAGTAGAAATCGTCATCTTTTACTAGGTTTGGATCCTTGCACACATAACCATTCACTCTCACTGCCACAAGCAACATCATAAGTAAAGTTCATATGAGTTAAAACACTTTAAGCATTAGCATGGTTTTGTAAAATAACTTCAAGCACAAGCAACAGCAAACAAGATGCGGGCATGCAGGTAGAATTTTTTTAAAGAGAAGGTACCGGTGCTATTAAGATCAGCAACGCAGAAATCTTGAAGAGGATCGGGGTCATATGCTAGCGCAATTGAACATGTTGTCGCCAACAGGCCGAGCACAAGAAAGAAAGAAGCCATTGCAATAGTAATATGAAGTAATGAATAGCAATGAGCAGTGTTGTAATAAATTGTGAAAATAAGCTCCTTGTGGATCTCCTTTTATAGAGGCAGAAAGAGGATAATTGATTGCGGCATTACTTGCCTAATGAAAGTTGTAAATCCTTCACGAAATGATAATTTGTCAATGCCTTGTACTAATGGAACAAGCTAAGCAAACAGTTGGCCGTTTCACCCAGTTTAGGATTGGATTCAAAGGTTTTGGTCAATCGAAATCCGACAGAGTCAATTAGAAAAGTCAGATTTAGTAATGCCATTTCTGAAGATGCCTCTGAACTCTACGATAGTGGCCAATTTAACCAAGCATATATAATTTTGCACGTCTTTCTTGTAACTAAAAGAAATTACCGTTAAAACAAGTTTGCAAAAAGAATTAACGAACTTTACCATCTCTGGCTCTTGGTAGGGTTTTACAGGTTTCAAACAATTAAAAATTGGAACGTTGCTTCCGTGGCTTTTCGGAAGTTATCATAAAGGTCCTGGACGTCTAAAATTGAAATAGCAACGAGAAGCCAATGATTTCCTATTGCAATTGAAGTTAAACAAGTAATCTAACTATTCAGACCCATTATCTTTTATTGGAAAAGTAAACTTAAAAATATGATGTAAGGCGTGATGAAAAAAGAAAACTAAACTCGTGGTAATTGGCGTAAAGTCAGTGGTCATGATCAATTTTTGGACTACAATTTTATTACAAAATATTAAAATAGTGAAATTTTAAAAAGCTTCAAAAAAAGAAAAAAAACAATTGTGCAAATTTTATAATATTATTTAATTAAAAATATAAAAACAAGTAAATTTTTTACCTATTGTGCAATAATTTAAAAATAAAAACTTCCCAAAACATTCTGCATATAAAAAAAAAAAGAAGAAGAAAAAAAGAGGAAACCAAACACGTGTTAAGTGGCGTAGAGTCACTAGTCATACTAATTTTTAGAGTGCAATTTTATTAATAATATTAAAATCTTGAAATTCTAGAAAGCTTCAAAGAGAAAATAAAACAATTGTGCAAATTTTGTAATATTATTTAATTAAATATGATGCTTAAAATATGTAATTAAGTAGATTTTTATTCATTGCGCAAACAATTTCAATAATAAAAACTTGTAAAAACATTCCGTCCGTGGAAGAAGGGGAAAAAGGCCAACCAAATACGTGCTAATTGGTATAAAATCAATGGTAACCATTAGGATTTGGACTACTACACGAAGATGAAAGCATGACGTCATGTTTTGTACTACCATAGTACGAAGATGAATTCCGGCCAACCAAGTACGTGCTAATTGGTATAAAATCAATGGTAACCATTAGGATTTGGACTACTACACGAAGATGAAAGCATGACGTCATGTTTTGTACCACCATAGTACGAAGATGAATTCCTAACAAAATCTTCAGGAAACCTGCGTGAGCCCTACCGATTACTACTCTGAAACTCTGAGGTCGTAGGCTTCCTTACTTAACTTTTGTAACTAAAACAAAAAAAAAAAAAAATGAAATCCTAATGGCCTTTTGATAGAGAAAATAATAAATCTGAGAAAATTAAATTTTAAAAAAATATATAGTTTTAAAAAATAGATATAAAAAATTAAAGTTAGAAGTGTGTAAATTTTTAATATCTAATTACACAGAATAATAAAAATATGTTAAAAAATAAACATTGAATTGATTATATTTTTTATTTTATAAAAAATTTAAATTAGAAGTGAGTAAATTTTTAATATCTGATTACACAGAATAATAAAAATATGTTAAAAAAATAAATGTTGAATTGATTACATTTTAATTTTATATGTTTTTTAAGATAATATTTTATTTTGTTGTTTTGTTTAAGGACAATCCCACTTTATCCACCTCTTGGGGGTGCTTTAATGCGATTTGCCCAATCCAAAAAAATTCAAAAGTATACCAAATAAATGTTCGGCGTGGGTTCAGGGCCAGCTTCAAGTCCGATTTTGTTACCCCATCTTTAGGGGTGCCAACTGGGCCACAAGCGGTCGAGTAGGGACAAGCACAAGTTGGATGGGCCGAATAGGCCGACAACTGTGATGAAGTCATGGTCACTACAATTTCGAGACAAAATGGACATGCACATCGTAACCAAAAAAAAAAATGCACATGCACATCGCAAGAAGAATTACAAAAAAATATAAAATAAAAAAAACTTTTTTTTAAGAAAATGATAAAATTTTATTTTTAAATTTTCTGATTTTTAAATTATTAGATAAATAATTTAAGAGAAATTCAAAAATTTCAATTTTTGAAAATTTAAATATATTAGTTTTTAAAAATTTTAAAATTTATAATTTTTTAGTTTTATTTCAATATTCTAAATGAGAGTGTTAGTGAAAAATTTTGCTAAAATACATTTTTTTATTTTCTTATATTTACAAATGAAGTAAACTTTACTTTTTAAAGAAAATTGTACAATTAGATTATCAAAATGTTAAGTTTTCGAGTTTTCTAACTTTTTAATTTTTTATATTAAATCAAATAATATAAAATACAAAAATCAGAAATTAAAAAAATTAACTTTTTTAAATGAATGAAACAACTTGTTAATATTTTTTTATTATAATAAATAATTTAATTTTATGTGACAAAAGTCTTATTTTATTTTTATAAAATAATATATTTTTATATAATATATATAAAAAATAAATTTGATATTTTAAATTAACACATTGTCTAACGGCAATTGAATGGGAGTTAACAAAACTATTAACTAAATAGATGTCAATTTGAATCAAATGAGATGAGTGTTTTTTCAATATAAAAATATGATTAAATGTTATTTAAAAAACAGAATTGTTTTTTAACCCCTTTTTTAATGAAGTTAAAAAAAAAAAAAAAAAGAAAAAACTTACCTTGTTTGGTGCGCTGGACATAGTTCATCAACCAGAAGAGCATGCTCTTGCGTTCCCTGGGCTTTTGGAGGAGCCACTCTTCATGTGAATTAGCAATAAGTTGATAAGTTGATTACAACTTGAAGGAGAGGAAAATTTGTACAGACTTGACTGGACAAAAGCCAATGTAGTCCAAGTAGTCTTTTTCTAGATTTCTCGTAGTTAGTTCATTTGTTGAGCAGTATATTTCTACTTTACCAAGGCCTGTTGCTTCCTACTAACCCATTTGTGATTCCTTCCCTCTTCAGAAAAGGACGAACACAACAATTGACATTGAAGGGCACAGTTCTAAAAGATCAAACATTTGTGCGAAGATGATACTCCTAGACAAACAACAAATCCTGTAGTGCTTGGCAGTTCGGCAACTTCTGTAGTTGAAGCATTCAACACAATGCTAATTGGTTGATATCAGATCTATATGAAAGTATTCACCTCTTTGGTTATTCGATTGAAACCAAAATAAGAAACTAAAATGGCACAACATAATAAAAGCAGAAGGATGCTTATTTCTGTTGGAGAAGGAGGACTTTGCTGCTGGGAACTCTTGCTTTACCGTCAACTGCTTCTCATTCTCTTCCCTGTCCGTCTTCAGTCTCTGTTTTCCGGCTTCTGACGAAGCTCCGTTTCGGCTTCTTGTTTCTGTAACAGAGACGGATTCTTCCTCTGTCGAACCCTCTTTTTGTCTGTGTCTGTCATTTCTATTTCTGCACTATGATGCTCAGCTCTCTGCACTGAGATGCTCTACTTTCTGCAATTGCAATGCTCTACTGTGCAATTGCTTTGCAATCCTCAATTCTGCGACGACACTCTTGTAAAATTTTTATTTCTAATTGAGGGATTAGTTCTCGACTGAAGGAGAGATTGATCTCTCTGTGATTATTTTATTTATTTATTTTTTTTATATCCTCGACTGGAAGAGGGCAGCCGTTTATGAAGGCAATCGAGAAGTTATCTCTGATTGGGACTCTGCCAACTTTGAATTCTCCAAGGCGATGAAGATGAAAAGGAACCCAACTCCTGAAGAACTCCTGCGCTTTCAGCTCCAGTCGGCTGAGAAGAAATTCAAACAAACCCATCGGGCCAAGCCAGGCCGACAACTAAAACCCATACACTTGAATACCCTGGAAGACTAGCCCAAAATCTATTTACTATTGGGCCAGATACATCGTGGCTCCCTTTTGCAAAGGAACCAACACCGGTTCGTTCCGAGGCTTCTCCGTTTTTATTTTAACAGATGATTCGCTGGTGTGTGTGTTTACGTATGTCTATATATTCTATATATATATATATATATATAATTGTTAACGAATTAGATTTAGATCAAACCACATATATTCAAATTTGATTAATCAATTTTATTTTTGATCCAAAATCCTATAAATTCTGTGTTTATGAAACTACATCCGAATCCGACGAATAATTTATAATTCAATTAAAAAATCTAATCTGATAAGAAAATAATATTTTTTTTTATACTTAAATTATTAATTCTATTTTATCAATCATATTAATTATTGCATTTTTCTGATTTTTTTCAATTTAATTCATACAACTTTGAACTTATTAATGCTATATATATAAATTTATTAATTTAATTAAAAATTATTATTAAAATTTAGATTTAGATCCTCAACAGATCGGATTTCTTACTTCTATATCCAGTTCACTTATTTTAAATTATAGATATTTATAATTGAATTTAATCCATCGAATATTTTAATTAGATTCAAATCATAAATTTCTAATCAAATCAAATGTAGATTCGAATTTGGATAAAAATTTAAGTTATTGATAACCTTATTCTATATTATGATTTCCTCCTATGGAACCGAGAGGAGGAGCATGCTTTCCTTCTGATAAAAGGAAAGATTAGCCAAACATCTGTCTTGGTAATACCAAACCTACGAGGGTCTTTTGAATTAGAAAGGGGAGCTGTGAATATAGTAGAAAGGTGACCGATGGCTTACTATTGTGAGATATATATATTACAAAAACAAATTAATCTTAATATAAAGTCAATTCAACAACCTTCTCTAAACTTTCATAAAGCAACGA